TCAGCAGTATAATTCTTATCCCAATACATGCCATTTTGATCCAAACACCTCATGGAATAATGAAGATATATTGGAGCCACAATCAGGGTTTCAAGCTCCAGAACAGGAGACATGTTTGAATAAAAATCTAGAGGTCCATTCAACTCATTTGCTCAACTTAGTTGCTGAAGAGATACAAGGTGAGTTACCTAGTGCAACAATGAAAAATCAAGAAGAAGAGGTAAACACTTTACTCTTGGAGACTGAAGGACAACTTGGAGAAGTAGAAATTATGCCTGCAAAAACTAAACAAGAGGATGTCCGTAAGGAGGAAGAGGAAAAAGCTTAGGTGTCATTTGAAATGTTCAATGTGGAGTCTCCTTTAACTAAATCTGATTTTAATGATTATTTTGTTATTGATATGGTTGATGAGATTTTGCAAAAAAACACTTATGAGGATTCATTTGAAATTTACCTTATTCAAGCAAAAGACTCAATCAAAGAATACATAAATTGCTTGAACACATCATCTTCCTTGGAATCAAAGGGGGCACTCTTAGAAGAATTGGGAAGGCACATCTGCTGGCCTAAACCCAAACCACCTCAAAATAGTCATTGGAGAAAATCTTATGGTGGATTCAACTTAAGGGCAAGAAAGCCAAGATTTAAGAAAACGAGAGGACATGCCCTACAACCTGATCCAAAACCACCTTGGAGTGGTAGAAAGTCTAGCTAATAACTATAAATTCAGCACTTCTTGGGAGGCAACCCAAGCATAAAATTTTCTTTTCTTTTATTTTTCTTTTATAGTTCAGATTTTCTTTTAATTTTTTTCTTTTTCTCTTTATGGCCTAGGCTAATGCATAAATTGTTGTTCTTTGATTTTGGCCAGGTCATTGAACAAGTTTGGGGGACAAGATTATGGAAATTCACATGCTAGAAGTCTCCTCTAAATGAAGAGAACTCAACTTCAAAACTTCAATTTTAAGTCTTCAAGTGCAAAACCTGGGAAGTTTCTCTTTTCTCTTACTTTTATTTTGCATTGAGGACAATGTTTGATTTAAGTTTGGAGGAGAGATACACTTTTAGGCATCTATTAGTTTGCATTCATATTTGTATAACATACATTCTTTTTTAGAAATCAGGGTATTTTTTTTAGGAATTGGTTTAATTAGTGTCAAGGAATTGAATATTCTTGAGTTAGAGTTTTTAAAATCTTTTAATCTTAGAGGAGATACAAATCTGAAAAATAACATCATTGTGATGAAGTTTAAGTTCATGAGTATTATATTTTATTTAAGCACAAATTTGTAGTGAGAAGTTTAGAGAGAAGACTTAGTAGCATCTAAAAAGCACAAAAAAAAAAAAACAGAAAAAAAAAAGAAAGAAAGCCAACACACAAAAGAGTTTAGTAATTTCTACTCCAATGTTTCTAGTTGCTTAGTAACTGGGGGTTAGGCATGAAACCCATGTCAATTTTCACGTCAAACATCAACTTGAAATAGGAGTATGGAAAGCACTTTGAGTTTATAACTTGTTGAGTAACCGGGTGCTTTCATCACAAATGTTAGTATTTGCGTCAAAAGACAAGTGATAACTTAGGGAAGAATGTGTTGTATGGCTGAAGAAAAAAAAAAAGAGAAGTCGAATGTTTCGTGGCCTTTGTTACTTGAGTAAGTATGTTCTTAGGGTGTCTCTTCACCTAATGCCCTAAAGCCAACTGGTTTGGGAGTCATTGACAAAAAGCTCGTTACATGGGTAAGTTAGAAAGCCTAAGGAAACTCGACCTATGAAAAAATAATAATAATAATAATAATAAGTGCTAAGGTGTGAAGGTCTAAACTTGAAACTTTTTACTATGAATTTCCACACACACACTAAGTGCTCATGGGTTAAATTTTTGAACAAGTGGTGTGAAGAATAAGATGGAGTATTTTACTTTAAGTGGGCATAAGAGAACTTTTGAATATTTGAGACTTTGCCTCTAATTGAACTTTAATTCCTAAATTTTCTTTGCATACATATCATATAGTTGCATTTTTGCATTGGGATTTTGTGGGTAGATCCGCTGCAAACCCTCACGAGACACAACTCGTCCAATAAGGTGACCTAGGGGTTTAAAGGCTTGTTGCACATGCTAAGTGCAATCGTGATTCCTACGAAAGTGAGTTAGGTTTTATTTTTGTTTCTTTTATCTTTTTATTTTACTCGATGACAAGTAAAACTTAAGTTTGGGGGAATTTGATGAGCTAAATTTATATACATATTAATATGGAATTTTTACTTTGATATTATTGATATTTGAATGAGTTTTATGAGATTTTATTTGATTTTACATGGTTTTCATTCTTTGTGTATAAAAGGATTTAATTGGAAGAAATCTTACTTTTTAGAAGTAAATTGAAGAAATCAGAGACTTGAGGATCAACTTGTGCAGAATCCAGAAGTCCGGAACCAAATCTACTATTTTACCATTGAAGAAATTGCAAAAGGAAACTAGAAACCCGACACGGTTGTAGTGTCGACACGTAACTGAGTTGTCGACACCATGCGTTAAACGTCCAGAATCAAATTCTGTTTCCTATTTTGTGTTAACACGTAATTTGAAGTGTCAGTACCACGCGATCAGCATCCAAAATTCAGTTTTCTATTTCTGTTCCAAATTCTACTTCTATTTCAATTAGGGTTTCTAAAATCCTATAAATACCCATCCAAATTCAGAATTGAGAGAGTTTTGGGAGGCTGGTGACAGCCCTCTTTTGGGCATTTTTAAAGATCAAGAGAAAGGATTCAACAATAGAAGATCGAGGAGTTTGATTTCCTCAAATTGGGTTTTGTTTTTCCTTGGGTTTTTATCTATTGTTTGATATTTGAATGTTCATAACTTTAATTTCATATTTTATTATTTTTATTATGAAGTAATTTATTTTATTAAGGCTATGATGTAGCCTAATCAATTCAATATAGATTTTGTGATTTTATACTTTCAATTAAAGTTATTCGCATGAAGAGTTTATATTATTGAACTTAATGCATTGGAAATCTGATCACCTTTCAATTGATTTAGTGATTTATGCATGAACTTGAGAAAGAATTGCGTAGATTAGACCAATAATAATATAAATCGTGTGCTAGACTATGAGACCGAGAGGTAATTAGCTCACATGTGGTAGTGGAAGAAGAGAAGAGAGTTGGGAGCTCCCCCTTCTTAAGCTAGAGGTTTCCATAAAATTTAATGCTCATTAGTTGGTTTAAAATTACATAGAGATATGATTAATTTAACAAACTAGTAAAGGATTAACTTGACTTGAGAAAACTAGTTAATTAATTTAGAGAAATCCGCCATCACATGCAATAACACTTAATAAATTGGTTTTGAAAGTATATTAATCTAGAATTTATATTGATTGATTATGATAAAATCAATGCCTTAATACCTCCTATTTTGATTAGATTTATTTGTTATTTTCTTTTTATTATTTTCAATTAAAGTTTCTTCCTATTTGATTGTTCAAATAAATTTAGATTAATTATTTTGATACTTAATTAGACACAATTCTCGTGGGTTCGACACTCTATTCATCATTATATTACTTGGAGCGATTAGTACACTTGCTAGGGTGATTTTAGTGCATCAAGGGTCATTGTCCCAATTGCAACGAAGTTCACTGGCAAAGAGAGGGGCTTCTCAAAATTGCAACGTATGGGAATTGGCCTCTTTATTTCTATCCTGTGTATGTCAGCTGCCGCTTTGGTAGAGATTAAGCGATTGCAGCTTGCTAGAGAGCTTGGCTTAGTTGATAAAGATGTTGCTGTGCCAATGAGCATCTTTTGGCAAATACCCCAATATTTCTTGTTGGGGGCTGCAGAGGTCTTTACATGTATTGGACAGCTTGAGTTCTTCTACGATCAATCTCCAGATGCCATGCGGAGTCTATGCAGTGCATTGTCACTTCTAACTACATCTTTAGGGAATTACCTGAGCTCTTTTATTCTGACTCTGGTAACTTATTTTACGACAATGGGAGGAAAGACAGGTTGGATCCCGGATAACCTGAATGAGGGTCATCTTGACTATTTCTTCTGGCTTTTAGCTGGTCTCAGCTTCCTGAACATGCTGGTCTATATTGTCTGTGCTAAGAAGTACAAGCAGAAGAAGGCTTCTTAAATCTTTTTTATACAGTTGCGAGGAAGTCAATCGTTGAAATGAAATTCACTGCAATGTACATAATTACCACATATTTGATGAAACTATATATATATGTATCATACCGGATAAGTTGCATTTTCTATGATAATAAGATGGGCGGTTATTATTATTATTTTCTTTTTGGTTGGGCATTTATGGTCAGAGTGGTTTTTCGCTGCCTCCTTCAGATACCATGTGTTGGGTCTAGAAACCTTAACTAGGGAACCTGTGAGCTGTTGTTCCCCGATTTGTCCTAGATTCAACATTGTTCCTACTTTATATTGCCGTAGCAATTGTCAACCATATGGTTGCTTGCGTTACCCTTTTTTGTAAATTTGAGTTTTGTTAGGTGATTTTTTATAATTTGATGGGATATTTAAAGTTTAGGGGCTGAGTTTAATTTAAATTTGACTAATTGAAATTGAAGGACCTAAAACTTACAATTTCTCACACTTGCGGCATTAATTGCGATTAAAGTGCATAGATGACCTTGACCTCTTGGTCAAGGGTTTAACCTGCAACTGCAGCATTATTGTAACTATTGTTTCTTTTCCTCCAATTTTCCACTGTTCATAAAAGAAAAAATTACAATTACTCATTTTTGGTTGCCACGAACACTGCACACAAACATTGGTTGAAATGGTCCTAGGGATGGCAACGGAGTCTTGTAGGACCGGGGATCCCCTTTCCATCCCCATCCCCATCCCCATGATTCACGCGGACAACATCCCTGCGGGGATTTTTTACGGGAGGCAGATTTTGACCCCCATCCCCTTTCCCCGCGGGGAATGGGGATCCCCGCAGAGATCCTCATTCCCCACTAAATATCAAATTCTAATCTAAAGAGCGGATGGCTTTCAGTAGCAGCAGAGCAGAAGGGTTCGTGAGCAACGGCCAGCATAGTGAGTAGCAGCCAGCAATAGCCAGCAGAGTGAGCATCAGCAGCGCAGAAGGGTTCGTGAAGAGCAGAAGGACTCGTAAGCAGCAATAGAGCAAAGCAGATTCGTGAGCAACAACAAAGCAGAGCAGATTCGTGAGTAGCAGCAAGCAGAAGGGTTCATGAAGAGCAGATTCTTGGGTGGCGGCGAGTAGAAGGGTTTGTGAAGAGCAGAAGGACTCGTGAGCAACAACAGAGTAGAATAGATTCGTGAGCAACAGCAGAGTAGAGCAAATTCGTGAACAGCAGCGAGCAAAATGGTTTGTGAAGAGCAGATCGTGAGCAACAGCGGAGCAGAAGGGTTCGTGAAGAGCAGAGCAGATTCATGAATAGCAGTAGAGCAGATTTGCAAGCAACAAACGAGAGGCAGAAACTGAGATCTGAGAAGGTGAGAGTGAGAGTGATTAGAATGGAGAAATGAATTAGGCTTAGGGTTAAATTTAGGGGAATAAGTTGGGTTGGGTTTGGTTAAATTAGATTGGGTTGGGTTTGGTTAAGTTGGATTGGGTTTGGTTAGGTTGAATAGTATCGGATAAGTTAATTTTAATTGGTTTGGACTTGGATTTAAATTTGAAGAGTAAGTTAAATTTAAAATAAATTTTTTTTGTATGGATGGGGATTCTTGTAGGGTCCTACGAGAGGAAAAATTCCTCGTGAAATTTTACAAGAGAAAATGTCTTCCGTCCCTGCTTTGTCCCTGTGGTGGGGATACTTGTGGAGTCCCGCTGGGATCAGGGAAAATTGTCACCCCTAAATGGCCCTTAACTAAAGGGAATATTTGCACAGGTTGGGAAATTTAGGGGCTTATCCGTTTAAAAAAATAGTCCAAGAGTTTACGAGGTAATTTGGGGAAAGATCAAGAGTTTAACTACTCCATCTTTTCTAAAATTATTGTATTTTTTATATAAAAAAAATAATGGTTGTCTTTTTATTTTTCTCTTAAATTAATGATTTAGAAACAATATTTATATTTATTTATAATAACTTGAAAGAAGACTTAAAAGATAAAGATAGATAGTTTGTGATAGGATGATTAATTAAAATAAATAAATAATAACAAAGTTAAAGTAAAAAAAAATTATCTATCTTAAAAAAGAAAAACAACAATAAATTTAAAATAATCTCAAAATTAAAAATAACAGTTATTTTGGGATAGATTGAATATGAGTTTTGCCATTGAGTTACATAGTGCTTTAAATGAATAATTAAAGACTTTTTTTCTTATTACTA